GGAGGCTGAGGCAGGAGAATTGCTTGAACACAGGAGATGGAGGTTGCGGTGAGCCGAGATCGCGCCATTGCGCTCCCGCCTGGGTAACAAGAGCGAAACTCCATCTCAAAAAACAAAAAACAAAAAACTCAACAATAAAAAGACAATCTAATTTTTTAAATGGGCAAAGGATTTGAATAGACATTTCTCCAAGAAGATACATAATTGGCCAATAAGCATATGAAAAGATGCTCAACATAACTAATCAGTGGGAAAATGTAAATCAAAATCACAGTGATATACTACTTCACGCATAATATAATGGGTAATATAAAGATGGAATTTAACAAGTGTATCAAATGTTGATCAGAATATGGAGAAACTGAAACTCTCTTACACTGTTAGTGGGATTATAAAATGGTGCAGCTACTTGGAAAACAGTTTGGCAATTCCTCGAAAAGTTACACCTAAAGTTTACTGATCACCCAGCAATTCTACTCCTTGCTACAAACCAAGAAATACAAAAACATGTTCACAAATCTGTATATAAATAACAATAACAGTATTCATAATAACCAAAAAATGGAAACAAGCCAAGTGTCCATCAACGGATGAAAAATAAAATAAGGTATATCCAAGGAATGAAATATTATTTATCCATAAAAAGGAATGCATAATGATACATCCTACAACATGGATGAATTTTGAAAATATGTTAAGTAAAAAATGTTATAAGAGGCTACATATTATATAATTGCATTTATATAAAATGTCCAGAATAGGCAAATCCATAGAAGTACATTAGTGGTTGCCAGAAGTGGGAGGAGGGGAGAATAGAAAATGATATCTAATGAGTTCCTTTTCTGAGGTGATAAAAATGTTCTGGAAATAGATGGTGGTGATGACTATAAACCTCTGTGAATACACTAAAAACAAATCAATACATTATGTATTTTAACAGAGAGAACTTTATGCTATATGAAATAGATTTCAAAAAGGTGTTATTAAAAAAATTACCCACAGGCAAAACAGATGAGTAAGAATAAAACTTGCCCAATTTCATAAAGCAGTCACACCTAACAGTACTGATTTGGGTAACTCTTAAGCTCTAGTAGTTTGTTGTGGGACTATAACATTGCTGATACAGATTCTTCTGGCAGTTTTCTAGAGTCAGAGCTAAAGTGGCCATACCTTCCTATTTGCCTAAGATACTCCCAGTTTACGCCTTTTGTCTCAATGCATTATTAATACTGTTCAATAGCAGCCTCAAAAGTACCCCAGTTGGAATGATAAATTACATTCATATGCCAGCCAGAAAGCGTTGAGTGAAATACACAGAGAGAGTGCACCCAAAGAAAAAGCTAAGTTTGTTACCTTTTCATGGAAAGTTGCTCTTTAAGGTTCTTGATTTCATTATCTTTAGTATGGATTTGACGCTGTAATCTAAGCAAGCAAACAAGAAAGTCAAAAAATGTTAGAAAATATGTCTCATTAACACAATCAGAACAGCTCTAGCTACAACTGTGCAGGAGACCAAGTATGTCCATTTGGGGCCACAAATCTTCAGCCTGAATACAACTGAACTCCTATACCTGATCCTTTTGAAATGTATCTTGTTTCTGATGTCTGATTTACTTATTTCCTAAAGAAAGGTGAACTAAGTTCTAATTCAGTAAATTACACAGCATATCTTGTATCCTCAGCTCAACGACATGGAAAAATGTCTTTGGCTCTTCATGCTTCAGCTTACTTACTAGAAAACAGAGATGGTATCTTCTGATTTTATAAGACTGTTGTGAGATTGAGAACTTTAAGTTCCTTAAAGTGGTATTATATCAAGTCATGCAAATTAGAAAGACTGATCTAAAGGAAATCAGACCTTAAATACTGAAGTGACGAGGGTGTGTGCAAATGCTAATTTTAATTAAAACTATGACTTAGCACCTGTGGGTCACTCATATGATCTTATCATGGAAAGAATGGGTAAAAATTTTGTATAAATCAGAATCTATATAGCCTGTTATCAGCTTCAAAATTAATATGTAAGAAACTAAGAGAAATACATGTTTTTGCTTGACATATATTCACATGCCATTTTTCATGTTCCTCCCTTATGCTGCTGTATTTCTTTTCACAACCAAGCTTTTACATAAACCTAGTAATTAACTTAAATATGAAGAGATTTATAATAAAAGCACATTGTCCTTTAAGTCTCTAATATGTTTAAGCTCTTGGAATACATAGAAGAGTTTGGTTAATATAAAGTATTGGAATAATAAGTCCTTGAAATGACAACTTTAATGTTGGATGGATTGCTCACTACTAGATGTCAGAGACTACCCATTCACCTTTACTGTAAACTTCTTAGATTTAGAGATTTACAGATAATGTTCTGTTGGTCTGAGAATGCAGTGAAAAGAAACCAGGTCTCTTTCTTTACAAGAGGTCACATTCTAAAGTGAAATATTAAGAAATATAAGTTTCATTACAGTAATACATAGGAATATGTTGACAGAGTTGAAAAAGCAGTAATTTGTAAGACTGACATCTTGTTTTCCTTTGTATACTTCCATTACTTCAATATTGTACCTAGCTCTAGTTTAGAGTAGGCAATAAGAGTAGACATAACTAGTGGGAATTCAGAACACCTAGATTCTTAAATAATAGAGGATAAGGTAGGCATAGTTCTTATTATCCAGCTCAGATAAGAGCCAGCTACGTATGTTCAAGCAGTCTTTTTCTCATGTTTAATATGACAGGATGAAATTATTATATTTTCTTTTCTAAAAAATCTAAAGTTCTCAAGTTAACTCTGGCTATCGAGTTTTATTACAGACTTTATTAACAGCAGTTTCTTGACATTTATTAAGTGCTTACTGTAGTTTATGCAAAGTAAGTCACTTGCATAAAATTTTCTTTTTAACACTTTATCATCAACAAATATTTGCCAAACATTTACTGCACACATCAAACTGAATTAGGCAAAAAAACAAAAACAAAAACAAAAACAAAAACAAAATGATTTTTTGCTTTCTAATCTCCATATTCTAGGATGGAAGAAGCCAGCATTTACAATTAAAGAATATTTATATTTTATCACATACTCTTGGGCAATGATCGGATGAATTAAACAAAGAAAACATTCAAAAGCTTATATGAGAACACAGAGGAGTCATTATGTCCATTCTGCCTTGATGCCCTGTCTTTTCTTCCATCTCATCCCACCTAACCTTCAATGCCGAGGATCAGTACTATGTCTTTAACAAAGTTCTTCATTGCAGGAAGCTCCTTATCACAACAATCAAAAGTATTCTATCTACCCTACAAAATTTCCATGAAGTATATCCTTGCTTGACAGTTTTTTATTACATACTTTTAAAAATAGTCAAACTGTTTATTTTGAGAGAATTGTAAATTCATATGCAGGTATAAGACATAATATACAAAGACCCCATGTATCCTTTTCCCAATTTCTCCCAATGGTAACATCTTGCAAAATTATAGTATAATACCATAACCAGAATATTGATGGTGATAGTCAAGATACTGCACAGTTCTATCATCACAGGGATCCTTCATTTTGCCCTTTTAAAGCCACACACACTTCCCTTCCACTCCCATTCCCTTCTTATAACATTGGAACCACTAATCTGTTTTCCATTTTTATAATTTTGTCATTTCAAGAATGTTCAAGAAATGGAAACATATAGTATATAAGCTTTTGGAACTTTTTTTTCTTTCAGCATAATTCTCTGATGTTTGTAGTGTTTGTAGTATTTGCAGTGATATCACTATTTCATTCTGGATGGTAGTAATTTATGTCTTTTCTCTTATGTTGTCAGTCTTGCTGGAGGTCTGTCAATTTTATTGACCTTTTCAAAGATACAACCTTTTGTTTCACGGATTTTCTCTACTATTTTTCTTTTTCCAACTCATTCTTTTTTAGTTTCTTGTTTTTGAGATGGGCCTCACTATGTTGCCCATGCTGAACTGTAACTCCTGGGTTCAAGCAATCCTCCCATCTCAGCCACTCAAGTAGCTGGGACTACAGGTGTACACCGCTGCATCCTGCCTCCATTATTTCTAATCTTTATAATTTCTTTCCTTCTGCTTAAGTCTATTTTGGTTTTCTTTTTCTCGGATCTTGAAGTAACAGCTTGGATTATCCACTGAAGACTTTTCTCTTTTTCTAATGTGTCTGTCTGTTTCGTGTTATAATCTTCTCAGCACTGCCTCAGCTGTGTGGCACAAATTTTGACATAATGTATTTTCACGTAAATTCAACGTATTTTGTTTCTCTTTGACCTATGGATTATTTAGACATGGGTTGCATAGTTTCCAAGCCTTTGGAGGTTTCTTGGTATCTCCCTGTTACTGATGTCTAATTTGACTCCATCGTGACCTGAGAACATGCTTTGTATGATTTAAACTCTTAAATTTGTTGTTGAGGTTTTATGGCCCAGGATATTGTCTTTCTTGGTAGACACATCCTGTGGTCACCTGAAAGCATGTGTATTCTACTGTGGTCTGATGGGGTATTCTATAAATATCAATTAAGTCCTGTTGGTTGATGGTGGTTATTGAGGTCTTCTACATCCTTGCTGATTTTCTGTTTAGTAGTATTATAAATTAAGAGTGGGGTTTGAAGTATTCAATTATAATGGTAAACTTCTCTATTTCTCCTTTCAGTTCTATCAGGTTTTACTTTGTGTGTTTTGAGGATGTTTTTGGACATATACCTTAAGATTCCTGTGGATTGAGCCTTTTATCATTATGTAATATCCCTCTTTGTGTCCAGCAGTCTTCTTTCCTCTGAAGTCCACTTAATCTAATTTTAATATAGCCACTCTTACTTTTTTTAATAAACCTCCGCATGGTATATCCTTAACTTTATTATTTTGGTCCCTTTACCCTCCTCACTTTTTGAATATATTGCGTTTCTTCTACGTACATTGAATTCCATGAGATGGCGTTAAAATTTTTGCTTCAACCATCAAATATGATTTAAGAAATTAATAAACAGTAGAACAATCTCTTATTATTTATCGTACTCTTTACTCCCTCTGATGGTCTTCTTTCCTTTCTGAAGTTTCAAGCTTCTATTATATATCTATTTTTAATGTTTAGACACCTTTCTATAGCCATTCTTTAAAGGTAGGCTATATGAATTTACTAGCAAAAAATTCTAATAATTTTCCCTTGTCTGAGACTGTCTTTATTTTCCTCTATTCCTAAAGAATATTTGTGCTAAATATGGGATTCATGGTTCTGCTTTTTTCTTTCAGTAACTGAATAAACTGCCATTTCATTCTGGTCTTCATGGTTTCAAATGAACAAAATCTGTTGTCATTCGAATTACTGTTTCATAAGTAATTTTTTTCTCTGCCCTTTTTCAAGACTTTGTCTTTTATTTTCAGAAGTTATGATGTATCTTAGCATGGATCTCTTGGAGTTTTTGCTATTTGGGGTTCACTTAGTCTCTGAATTTGTAAATTTATACATTTAATCAAATTTGGGAAATTTTCAGTATTTCTTTGAATACTTTTTCAGTCTCTCTCTCATTCTGCTCTCCTTCTGAAATTCCAGTGACAAGTACTTTAGCTCTTTTGTTACTGTCCCACAGGTCCCTTACATTCTGTCTTTTTCATATTTTTCTCTCAGTCTATTTTCTCTTTGTTCTTCAGATTGAGTTCATTCTATTCAGCTGTCCCCGTGTTCACTGACTGAATCCTTTTGTCATCTCCACTCTACTAGTGAGTATATCCAGCAACTTTTAAATTTAATCACTGTATTTTCTAGTTATATATTTCCCACTCTTTATTATAACTTATTATTTCCTTACAGGGATTTTCTATGTTTTCATTTGTATCAAGATTATTCTGTTTTGTTGAAGCATTTTTATGATGGTGGCTTTAAAATCCTTGTCAGATAATTCCAATATCTGAATAATATTAATATTGTGATTTGCTGGTCTTTTATCTTTCTTGTCTGAATTTCCTGGTTCTTGGTATGGTCTATGTTTTCTACTCTACCCTAGATATTTTGAATATTATGAGACTCTGGGTTCTATTTAATCTTCCTATTTTTAACAGATAGTCTCCTGTTAAGGTATAATGTAAAAGCCAAGGAAGGTGGGTATGCACGGCTTTGCACTGTGCTCTACAAAAAGCACCCCAGGAAAAGTGGGCACTGACTCGCACTGCCTCAATGCAAATGAGAGGTGTACAAGTTCAGCTCCCCTCCCAGTCCCACTGATACCTTCCCATGAAAGTGGAGCACCAAGTCACATTGCCTTCTTGCCGCCAAGTGGAATATAAGATCAGCTCTTTGCTGGACCCTGCTGACATTAGGAAAGAAGAAAGCAAAGGACTGACTCGCAATACTTTGTTGCTGCAGGGTAGAGGCAGAAGTTCAGCTCCCTGTTGTGCCCTTCTAGCACCAGCTGAGGGAAGGGGGGAAAGGGAATGCCAACTAGCCCCATGGGTGAAGACTTAATTATCAGTGAGAGGGAGTAAGGATGAAGCCTAGTATTGATTAGTTTTGTCTCAGACTGGCTTGTTAAGTAATATTGGTGCTGGGTAGCGGTAAAGTTCAGCTTTCAGCTGACTGACACATCCTGCAGAGGAATTAAAGTACCATCTCCTTCTCCCCAGTGGAACAGGGAAGTCGGCTGCCTGGTTAATACTGCCAACACTATCCTACAAGAAAAACAGGATTCCTGCTACCTACTTCTGTTAGATGGGAGAATCGGTGTGTACTGCTTACTTCCAAGGGGTGGCATGGGACCACTTGTGTGTGGCTGCAGTAGGGTGGGTATTGTCAAAAAGCCCTTCTATTATTATAATTTCCTTTTACTGATCCTTTGGCTAGAAGAAACAGGCTTTTTTAGAGTTTTTTTTCCCCTCTGCTTTTTAGCAATTCCAGGTTAAAGGCTTCAGCAGTGCCCGAGATATATGGGAGGCAATTAGAAAATTTATTGCCAGATCATTCCTTAAGTCTCAATGTCTTTAGACAGCATGCTTTCTTATTCCACCTTCTAGAGTGTTACTATGCTTTTCTGTTGTGTTATATCCAGGGTGTTTTAGTTTTTAAGAAACAGCTGTGAGAAATGGGGCTATACATCTTAGTGGACCTGGAAGTCTCTGTTTTATGTAATTTTATCCTTACGTGTTAATCTACACTCTCCATTGGATCATAATGAATGTCTCACACATCTTGGTATCTTCTACATGTGCCTTCTGTAAGTTTTCTAACATAGTAGGCCCTTGATAAATATTTGGTGAATGCCCAACATTAAATGCTCATTTTGTGAAGGCATATGCATCCCCTACAGTGGACTGCTTATAGCCTCAAGCATGTAAGGGTACATGGGCCACCTGTCAGGAGTTGAGGAGGAATATCTTCAGATGGAAGGAAGTCAGCTCATCTGCACTGATAGCATTGCTTTTCTAGTCTCTGATATTATATGACATATTTCTAGATTAGTCATCCTCTTTAGGCTAAACAATGAAGTTTTGAATGCTGAAGTACAGTTTCTTTTTTTTTTTTTTTTTTTTTTGAGACGGAGTTTCGCTCTTGTTACCCAGGCTGGAGTGCAATGGCGCGATCTCGGCTCACCGCAACCTCCGCCTCCTGGGTTCAGGCAATTCTCCTGCCTCAGCCTCCTGAGTAGCTGGGATTACAGGCACGCGCCACCATGCCCAGCTAATTTTTTGTATTTTTAGTAGAGACGGGGTTTCACCGTGTTGACCAGGATGGTCTCGATCTCTTGACCTCGTGATCCACCCGCCTCGGCCTCCCAAAGTGCTGGGATTACAGGCTTGAGCCACCGCGCCCGGCCTGAAGTACAGTTTCTTAAATGATTGCAGCCACCTTCGTTTGTCTAAGCTTTCTTAAGTCCCACAGTCTTCTAAACTTGAATGATCTCTCTAACTCTAGTAAGGATCAGTCTGACAATGCTTGTGAATGAAATTATGTTGTCAGAACGATGGCATCTAGTTCTTGCTAATAACCCCTTCATGTGGCAGATACAATATGTGAGAGAAAACTTAGACCTAAATCTCTGGCAAATATTTCCCCAATTTTATAAGAAACAGCTTGGACTCCCCACTCTAAGACATTCCCAGTACTTGTCTATTCTCCCTATCAGCATTCTAGGAACTGCAATGTATTTTAAACTAGACTTTTTGGATGGCTGGTGTCTTATGGTATTAGTTTGTTAAAATAATTTGGTTGAAACTATGCTACTATTCAAATCAATACAGGTTGGAAGCAGTAATTAGTACAGAAAGAACAAACAAGGTTACTAATTTTTCCCTAAGTCAGTCAGAATTTTTGGTCAGGATACATAAAGTATATCCTAAACTTTAGGTTTAGGAGAAAAGAGATTGGGGTAAAGTGGGAAAGAGTCAATCAAACAAACAAAAAAAGAGATTTATTTTCAATCTCACAGGCTTAGAACACAAATGCTCTGAAAGACCAACATAAAAATGCACTCAACTGATTCCCTGGTGTCTTTGAGGAATGTATTCATATACTATAAAGAAACAGCCAATCATTGGTCACATTTTTACAAATTAGAGTCATGATCTGAAAGTTAATTATCTTTCTCATGTAATTCTATTACATTCACACTTGTTCGCCAATACATGAAAAGCTTGATATATAGTGTGAGCAGCTGCTTATTTCTCAATCCAGTTGGCAAGACAAAAATATGGTTGGTTTTTTTTTTTTTTTTTTTTTTTTTTGAGACGGAGTTTCGCTCTTGTTACCCAGGCTGGAGTGCAATGGCGCGATCTCGGCTCACCGCAACCTCCGCCTCCTGGGTTCAGGCAATTCTCCTGCCTCAGCCTCCTGAGTAGCTGGGATTACAGGCACGCGCCACCATGCCCAGCTAATTTTTTGTAGCTTTAGTAGAGACGGGGTTTCACCATGTTGACCAGGATGGTCTCGATCTCTTGACCTTGTGATCCACCCGCCTCGGCCTCCCAAAGTGCTGGGATTACAGGCTTGAGCCACCGCGCCCGGCCAAAAATATGGTTGGTTTTTAAACAAGCGCAGCCTTATGGTTGGAGTTCCTAATGTGTAGTCACAGTGCCACCTAGTGGTTATGCAGGGATTAAGTATTAAGGATACTGTTTATTACGGGGCAAACCCAGAATTTCCTTTTATCAAAAGATTTACACTTACTTGGAAACCTTATTGATTCCAAAAGCCACTTGTTGATTAAGAGATGAAATAATTTTGTCTTTCTTTTTAATCTGCATTTGGCTTTCTTGCCACCGAAAAGTCACTGTTCTCAACTGTCTTTTGAAATCCTGATCAATAAAAATATTATTTCAGATAATTCTGTTCAAATCACCAGAAATTGAGAGAAAAATGCAAACAAAGTTATTTTCAAACAGAAAGCACCTGTAAGTCTAATATTTGAAATACTTCTCACTTCCCTCAGATCTAATGGCAAAAATACTTACTTCACACTGATAGTGCAATTTATAAAGCTGCCTTTGACGAGCAAGCCTTTCCTTTTCAGTTTCTCCATAGTCTGTAGTTACTTTGCCAGCTGAGCCCTATTGAGCAAAGGAAATATGCATGCCTTACTTTCCTCTAAAAAAAAACACTAATATTTTAGTTATTTGAAAGGGATTTAAAGTTGCCATCTAACTCCTGTTCATGTTTTTCGTCTCAAGTAAAACACCCAACTTAGATAAACTCACCATTAGATAAACCCAGCTCCCCTCAATTATAGCATTTAATAAAAAGTACCACTTACTTGCCTGTTGCTGCTACTGCTGGAAACCACTAACTGCATGCTTACCATTTCTTAAGCATTTTCTTTGTAAGAGTAATGCTTTTATTGTCATAAGAACCATATGATGTAGACAGTCATTATTTCCATTTTAGAGATGATAAAATAGTGAGTAACTTGCCCCAAATCACATAGACAGTAAGTGGAGGAGCCTGCATTCTAACTCAGGCAGTCTTAATTGCACAAGCACTTAATTATTACACTGCATCATCTGAGTTTAATGTTCAACTTATCCACTAGATTGTAAACACTGTAACAGAGACTCTGTCTTAGCATAGCTCTTGACAAAATGCAGGCGAATGTATCATTTTGGCTAAAATGTACATATTCTAATTAGGAGAAAAAAAGGTATGACAATTATATGAATGTTGTACCATCAGCCAAGGAATCATCTGTACTAACTGTACCCTTAGACAATAAGTATTCCTACATATTATATACCACTATATTTAAACAGCAGAGCAGGTTATCACTGAATTCACACTAGTAGGTAAAAAAAAATTGGTTTTTAAAAAAATTCTTTCATTTGCTGTTGAGCACTTAAATCATGTTCACATGCCTTTTCACATATAGGTACATCATTCCAAGCAGTGTCTACTACCAGGAATGGAGCCAGAAAAAAACAAATGATTATACGTAGTCATTTTTGTAGCCATTTCATGGTAAAAATCATATTTAATTTTTAAAAATCAAAGCAGCTTTATATTACAAAACTATTTTTCTCATGACCTGTAATCTAGTGGTATTATGCTAGGTTTTTTTTTTTTTTCCTTGTGGTATTCAAAAAACCTTTGTAAGAAAAGCATCTGTAATCAACTTTGCCCTATATTTAAAGCCAGGAAATGGTTTGAGGGCTAAGGTGAAGTTTCCTGAAGTTTCCAGCACCTAGGGGTTCTTTATTTTTTATTCTATTTTCCTTCATATAGGCTTCCTTACCTCCTTTTCTGTTTTTCTCTTTCTCCTCACAAACAGTATAAACCACTGGGATTTTCAAAGGGTTATGCTGTTTAAAGAGTCACAGGAAAAACCAGGTAACAACTGAATCTTAGCGAAGGCAGGCACCCTCTCCAATCAAGCTTACCTGCTCTATCATGTCCAGAATATGCAATTCATCCAGGCTATAAAACTTATCTTCCGTTGCAGAATCCTCTTGAACATCACTTGCATCATCTTTTATAAATCTACTGACTGAGTGTGGATTTGCTTGTTCTTTCTTCAACTGTTCTTCCTTTTCTACCACATATGGGCTATAGTGGCAACATAATCAATGTGAGCCTTTACAATCGTACAGTGATTTTCATCTAAGCTATGGCTTCCCAAATTAGTATTGTACTGGTTTCATGAGATGCTCAGCATTAGAAGGGTTCATGGTCAAAGAAAGTTTGGATAGTGCTCATACTGAGTCTTTCTTTTGAAGATTCACAATGAACATTAGCATATTTAAAGCAGAACTCAATCAAGGTACCTATTTAATTCTGTTCATGCCACTGTTTTCAAAAATTATGACACTACAGAGTTCACTTTATAAATTATAACTAGTAATATCAGTTGCTTTGGAAAACAGTATTTCAGAAATATTGGCAAGCATTTCTGCATCTGATATATTATTTTACCATTATAACATCCTTTGTTCTCCCATAATTTCCTTGACAAGTAGGTTGGTTTAAGCAACTTCAGTGATTAGGTCCAATGTACTTTTAAACAGAAGGTCGAAAATAACAACATAAAACAGACAATAAAATGGAGGTTTCTTTTGTAACAGGACTTTTAAAAAAGAACTACAGTAATAACATGGATTTCAGTAACAACTACTAACAGAGACCACTTTTAAATAATGAAAATACTATATACAAATGATAGCAATTAACCAATTTCTACACTTTTTTTCTAAAATTTAATTGCCTGATACTGTCCTTTCACTTGGCCTGCTACTTACTAGTTATAAATTTCCTTCCTAATCTCTTTGAATGGCAACAAGAATAGTATTTTTACTTAGATTGTAATATAAATGACTTGATTTAGCTAGTGAATAGAAACTCCAGGATACATTATTACTTTTTGGAACACTGAGATCTAGAAAAAATGAAATCTAATGCTTGTGGAATAATTCATAAAATACTATATAAGCAGTAATTAGGTATTACTGAGGTATTCTAGAGTGATCCAAACATTCTGAAAAGTTCGACGAAATCAATTGCTTGTGTAGAACACTGATTCTCAAACTTAATTACTTTTCTAAATTATCTGAAGAGCTTTTAAAAATTAAATGTTTCTAAACATTCCCACAACTGTAAAAATACAGATGAATTTCTATTTTTGAAAAGTTCACCAAGGTTATTCCTAAATTTTTTAAAGTATACTCACGCATTGCCTAACAACAAGGACAATTTCTGAAAAATGTGTCATTAAGCATTTTTGTCATAACATAATATCATAGAGTATTATTATACAAAACTAGATGGTATAGCCTACTACACACCGAGGCTATATGGCATAAACTATTGCTCCTAGGCTATAAACCTGTTACAGCATTTTACTCTACTGAATATGATAGGCAATTGTGATAAGTATTTGTGAATTTAAACATATCTAAACATAGAAAAATTACAGTCACAATGTAATATAAAACATAAAAAACTGTACACCTGTATAGGGCATGTACCATGAATGGAGCTTACAGGACTGGATGGTGCTCTGGGTGAGTCAGTGAATGAGTGGTGAGTACCATGCACTACTATAGACTTTAAAATAAACATGGTAAAGTTAGGTTACATTAAATTTATTAAAAAATAAAGTAATATCACTACAATGTTATGACAGCTACACCACTACTAGGCAATTGGAATTTTTCAGCTTCATTTTAATTTTATGGAACCACCATCATACCTGAGGTCTGTCCTTGACCAAAATGCTGTTATGCAGTACAAGACTGTACTATAACAGCATTGAGATAATATAAAAAATGTTCATATTTCTAAGATGTAAACTGAAGAATGAAGGGGTGGAATTAAAAGGATGTTTGGGATTGAAAACACTTCAGTAAAGAACAAAATGTCAAAGGAAGTATGAAACAAATGTGAAAAACAGAATAATTGTTGAATCAAAGTTATAGGTACATATGTTATTGTATATATACTATTCTCTTTACTTTTGTGTATATTTGAAAATTTCCATTTAAAGACAAAGCTCCTTGGATGTTCTGATCAACATCCAGATTTGGATCCACTGTGTAAGCAAAATGACTGATGACATTGTTTCATCTTTACTAAGCTATATTTATGGCATTAGACACAGCCTAAAAAACAAACAAAAACTATCGCTCCAGTGACTCAACCTGTTGCCAAAGAAAGTGAAAACACATCTTAAATGATGAACTATTTTATATATCAAGTGGATCACATCAATTGAAAAAATCAACTACAAGTGATAGATTTAAAGTTAACAAAATATGTTCCTCTTGCTGCTGTTTTGAAGATACTTTATGTCCTCAGAGTTCTCTGAAGTAACTACTATTCAATTAACAAACATTTTGCTAGAAATGATGATCTCTTCATTAGGCTGTCTCCACCCCTTCCTTCATATACTACACTGTCATTAATCATGCAAGCTACATGCAAAATACAGTGATTTTTTTGCCATTAAAATGTTTCCATTAAAGGTTCAAAATTCACTGTGAATTACTGGATTAAAAAAAAACAGGTTAAATCTTAAAAACAACAAAGCCAAACTTTTTAGTAAAAGGGGTGACTGAGACATAACAATGATGCACCCTTTAAAATTAGGTCTTAGTCTAGGTTTGGTCTAGACTGCAATGTCTAGACTAAAATGCAGTCTAACTACCGTGTAGACTATATTTTAAAATGACTCAAGTAGCCTTACAGAAAAATGATAAGAGGTTCTATTCTTCCAAAGCAAATAATAATGTTAAATGATAATTTAACTTTTTGTTACTTTCTATAAAAAAGCAGCAACTTATTAATTACTAAGACAAGAAACTATTCTTCTTCTCTTGGGAGGTTTTCTCAAGGAAAATGAGTCCTGATAGGACACATCTTCCTTCTTTGGGGACGTTTTCCTTGAGAAAACTTATAATAAAATGTTTTTATTATGTTCAAGGAACACGTCCCCAAAGAAGGAAGACTGTATCATATTAGAAAAGTATGCCTTAAAAATACTAAGAAAAACTTAAAAATTAAAGTAATACTTACACTTGCTCTTTTGAGTCTGTATTCTGAAAAATAACATAAGAATCAGTAATCTATATCAACTATATCAAAACAACATAATAGTAATATGATTGCATTTAGGTCAGTTTTTCTCAAAAAATTTGTGATCATAACTAAAGTAAGAAATATAATTCATCATGTCATATGTACTTGCACATAAATTTTCTCACATAAGTATAAAACTGAAATAAGAGTTCCGTGAAATAAAACTTACTCATATTGTAGTGATGAACTCTAGCATTTTTTTATTTCTATTTATTCTATTTCCTTTTCTTAAAATGGCAGTTGTGAGTTACTAAATTGGTCTTATAATCTATTACTGAGTCTTGAAACATGACTTGAAAATCACTGATTCAGATGATAGAAATGAGTATTGCGGCTGTGTTTGTACTGATTAGTATGCCTTTGGACACAATGTATGTAATTCCAGCATATTCCTACACTAACTACAAGTGTTCCTGAAAACCTACACATAAGGAGAAAACAGACTGATACATTAAGAATCTCAGAAAAAGAAGTGTTAAGAAGAACAAAATTTGAAAAAAAACCTTAAAAGCCTAAAACTTTATGTTCATTAAAAGAAAACTATAAAGGCAACATACCAAATAAAGGCAATATCAGTGACATTTAACAGGTATTAAACTAAGAGTATTACAGTATTAATTTCTACCATCTCTTGGACACAAGAAACTTCAGGGTCTCCTTCTCCACAGATACAATGCTGTATGTATGAATTTGTTTACTTTCTTGTCTGTATACTAAGATTTTTGTGTTTCAGTGTCTGACCTTATGCTTAATATACAGTGCCAATTTGATTCTATGATTTAGAATTATTGACTCCTGTCTTTGCTCTAGTGTACTTGAATACCTGACTTGAAAAGACTTTAGTTTGTTTACAATAAACACATCTAGCATAATGGATTATTTCTCAAATTCCTTTTGGCTCTTCCCATGACAACTTTATGCCAATGGATATAACAGCCACACGAGGCCACCCAGTTTGATAGGCTTGATTTATTTCCTGTCATGTTTCCTTTTTCCCAAAGCTTCATCACAAAAGTGTTCTATTCTTTTGCCCTACTTAACTCTGAGTGGTGGATGGGAAGATCTAATTAACCCCCAAAAGAGTTATTTACAATTTGGGAACATTAGAAGCCAAATACTAAATGCTTAACTGAAGAAAGGGAACATATAGAGTAGCTACAAAGTTCCCATACCTTCTAGTTAGAAGTTATCTATACTGTCCCCTCTATTTGCTATATAAATTTTACTTTTCCTTCATATTCTCTTTTCCTTCATATCACTTTCTTTCAGAGAGTCCCTGATAGGTCCTTTTAGGATGTCGGATAGACATGTTATATAATAAAATAAGTAACAGAGGACACAATTTCATGCATGGAGCCTTTGTCAGCACTGCATAACAAATGCAAATTT